TTTTTTTTTTTTTTGTTTTGTTTTGTTTTTCGTTTTGCTGTGTGAAGGGTTGAACTCAGGGCCTAGCCCTCTACCAGTAAGCTGTCTTTGCAGCTCCCCACCTTACTCTCAGCATCACTCATTGGGTTCTCTTTTTATCCATCTTTTCAGAAATTGTCTTGTGGAGTTGAGTCTTGGCAGCACATGCCTCTAAACTCAACTTGGGAGGCTGAAGCAGGACTGTTTTAAGTGTGAGTCCTGCCTTAGTAAAACTGCCTCAAAATAAACACAGTTTTGAAAGGGCTGGGATGTAGTTCAGTGGAAGAGCACTTGCCTTGCATGCATGAGGCCTTAGGTTTAATTTCCAGCACTGCAGAAGAAAGAAAAGATTTGCGATCTTAGGTGAATCATAATTTGAAAAACAATTCAGATATAATTTTCCAAGTAAAAGCATTTAAACAACAAGGAAATATCTGAAGTGAGATTCAAAGCAATTCAGATGTAATTTTGAAAATAAAAGCAGTTAAGGAAATATCTGAAGTGAGATTCAGATATATATTTGAAAATAATCAGTATTGTTCACATTAGAAATGAGTGACAAAATGATGGGAGATAAGGTATTAAGGATATACTTCTTTGTATAAGATCCTGCGTTCAATACCTAGCCAAAATAAAGATACATTTCATTAAATTTTTAAATTTTAAGATGTGTTGTGTCTCATGCACATTCTCTTGATTATAAAGATGAGGTTTACCTCATGATACTTCTATAATTTGTTTTGGAGTAAGAAATGGGTAGATTCTTTAGTCTAGTATTACTAGGTTTTTCCAATGCCATCTACTAAACAAAATATTATTTCCTAGTGATGGGAATGATGTGGAATGTTACCCTTAATCCTAAATTCTGGAATTCATTTGTGTCTCTTGTAGCAGTTTGTCTGCTCTACCTCACTCTTTGTTTTTTTTTTTTTTTTTTTTTTTTTTTTTTTGAGGGATTTTTATTGTCTGAAGGGTTGAACTCAGGGCCTAGCCCTCTACCAGTTAGCTGTCTTTGCAGCCCCCCACCTTACTCTCAGCATCACTTATTGGGTTCTCTTTTTATCCATCTTTTCAGAAATTGTCTTGTGGAGTTCTACCACATTATTAGAATATGTCTGAGTAACTGCTATGCTTTATTCCTTTTTATTAACCCCATCTTTCCCCCCAGGGCTTTTTAAGCTATTGTTACGGGTTTGTTTTTTGTAAGATTTTTAGGTTCAATTTTTCTAGTTCTAAAAAGGAAATTTTAATATCGATTCAATAACTTTCTAGGAAAGAAACATCATCAGAAAGAAGTCACAAATTAATTACAGGTTGCATTCTGATTTTAGAAAATTAATTGTAAAAACATGAATATTCTCAAATCAGGAAATAGAAAAAGAAAGAGAAGAGCCATACCCTGGAACTTACAGCATGAATTAACCCAGAGTAACGTGAGATTCATAGCTTTACAACCCAGTCTAATCTCAGGTTTTTTTCCTTCCAGTAATGCACATCAGGTTCATTTACCAACTATACATAATGTGAAAGGATGAGAAAGGCAGAGATGTTCATATTTATTTTACATTGAAGGAGGAAAAAACTCTTCAATTCTTCCTCAGAGAAAGTATTAGCCTATAGATGAAACCAGTCACTGTTTTTCTATATCTCTAGTATCACACTTGAGAAAGGGGCACTGTGGTTGTCCTTTATAGGGAAGATGCTTCTCCACAAACAGGTGTGAGTACATGTATCTTATCTGCAGGGATTTTGGAAAAGGGTGGGTTTGGATTAGGCAGACTGACTTGAGGCACATTCTCTTGAAATTAAGTTTCCTTTTTCTCCCTGACAGGCAGCTTTGTTTGCACTCAAGGAACTTTTTGAAGAGAATTATGCTCCTCGACCCATCTTTGTAAGTTTTAGTATGTTTGCATGATGAGTTTTGTCTTATATAACAATTGTGAGAGGACCATTGATGTTAAGTTTTGGATACCACCCAGTTTAGCTTCCTATTTGCTCTTTTCCTGCTACCACTTTTAGGTCAGTAGCTGCCTTGCCTCTGAGGAGGCACTGAAAATGAACCTAGAAGTGATTAGTATGAGGCAGGCTGCTCAGAAGAAGCTCCTTTAAAGCCAGAAGCTTAAAGACCTAGTCTTACAAGGATTCACGGAGTGATGGAGTTGCATGGTGACTGCCAAGTACTCATTACTGAAGATTCCAGACACGAGTTCATTACCTCAGTAGGCGGACCCTATAAAATTAGTGGGTGGGAATAGAACAGAATCAAAACAAGGGCATCAGAAAAATACAGTGTTTACCAGCAAAAGCCCAGATGTATTAGTTACCACTGGGATCAAATACCTGATACCTACACTTTAAAAGAGGAAAGGTTTATTTGGTGTATGATTTCTGAGATTTTAGTCCATGATTGGCTGACTCCAAAGCAGAAACATCACAGCAGAAGATCATGGCAGAGTAAAAGTGCTTAGTTCCTGGTGACCTGGAAGCAAAGCAGCGGATCTGCACCAGAGAGGAAGGGGCCAGGGACCAGATAGAGTATGCAGAGTCACGCCTCCATGACACACCCAGGAGTATGCTTTGCTATTGGGTTATGGTGATTATCGAGCCAATCAAGCTGGCATTTAGTGTAATCTTCGTACCAGGATAGACTGAACCGTCTCTGGGAAAACTCCAGTGGTTCTGGATGTGTGAATTCTAGGGCTTTTGGAGGCATTGCTTTTGGATCAGTGACATCCCCTTTCTCTGTTCCCGTGACTTCTCCCCTAGTCACTTCGCATTTGTCTATTCTGGCTCTTACATAGATTCCTTCTTTTTAGTTTGAATTCCGTGGTTCCCTTTGTAAAAGAACAAAGAACATCAGCCTTTTTATTTTGTCTTTATGATTATATTCTTTATCTGAGTCTATATTATTGACCGTTTACTTTGTTAATTCAGATTTCAGGGACCATTGTTGATAAAAGTGGCCGGACTCTTTCTGGACAGACAGGAGAGGCATTTGTCATCAGTGTTTCTCATGGAGACCCACTCTGGTGAGTGATTGCTTCCTGGACACTTTTGGGGAATTTTCCTGATGGCTGTGAACTATGACCTACAAGGTGATTGCTTTCACATGTTTCAAGTGTACAACTTTCATGTTGTATTATCTTTAAGTACTTCCAATGATTATTACCTAAAATGGGTCATTTTGAGTGAGTGGGAGAGCTTATACCTCCTGGGCAGCCACTGCTTGATTGTTCATCTTGCTTGTAGGTGTCTCTTATGATTTATGACTGTGTTTCGTTGAATAAGAGCTCTTATCATTTGCTTACATTTTGGGGCCAGTGCTTTGCAAATTTTAGGATAGCTTCTCCCTGCTTTTGGGGCAACCAGTTAGCTTTGAATAAGGTGGGAATTCTAAAGCTTAAGTTTTATCTTTTATTAGTCTTATAGATTAAAGTAGTAGATACAAGGTTATAATGTTTAAGAAACTATTGTTTACTGATTTGTCATTGTTATAAATTATACATATTAACAAGAACAATGGGACGGAGCCCTATATTATTAATGCATTTATTGAAATCCTGCTATGTGCTCTAGAATATTGGCAATTGTGAAACAGTCACCCTAAGAAAATGCATAAATACATTAAAATGTAAACATCAAATGTTGTACAGAAAATCTGGCCATACACAGGAGTAATGGGATCCTTAGGAGAAGGTGACATTTGAGCTTTTTTTGGAAAACATTAGCCATTTAATTAAGCAGAGAGGCATGATAGATGTGTTAGTTAATGTTAACTGAGAACAGCATAGTTTATAAAACAGTCTGTATATGATGTTTCATTTGAATTTTAACATCACCTTGAGAGCTGAATGTTACTTTCTTCACTTAAAAGATGAGGAACTAAAAAAAAAAAAAAAAGATGAGGAACTGAAATCACCAAACTATTGAAAAGACAAACTAGGATTGGATTGAAAAAAATCAAGCATCTAGTCTAACAATAAAAATGATTTGTGAGACCAGTGTTCTAACCCCTGGGCTATGGAGCCCTCAATAACAGAATGATTTTTGTTGTTGTTGTTGTTGTTTTTTGAGACAGGGTCTCGGTTTGTAGTTCAGGTTGGCCCTGAACTCACTATGTAGCCCATGCTGGCCATGAACTCTTGTCCAACCTCTGTCTCAGCCTCCTGAGTGCTGGGATTACAGTTGTGTGCCACAGGCCTTGCTAACAGTGATTTAAACATTATTTTTTAGTTTTTTCTAACCTGCTGAATCCAGTAGCATAAGATGAAACAAAAAGTTAAATTACCAAATGTGTCTAGTGAAATAGCTAAATAGGATAGGTCTATGTAAGATTGTAAAGTTAGCCATGCATCTGATCTTGCAATCTTTTTGTTTTTTCTTTTTTCTTCTTTGGTTTTTTGAGACAGGGTCTTGCTATATATATATAGCCCAGGCAGGCCTTTAACTTACTAGGTATCCCAGGCTGGCCTCGAACTCATGACAGTCCTTCTGCCTTAGCCTCCTGAGCTCTGTGATTATAGGTGTGTGCCTCTGTGCCTGGTCGATCTCGCAGTCTTAACTGAGATGTACCTCCTTTAGGCACTTGCGATCACAGAATCATATTTGTTTTAGATCAGTTGCAGACTTACAGAATAATTGAGCAGAAAGTACACAGAGAGTCTCTATACACTCTCTCCTTGGTCAAGCACCTGTCCTGCCCACCTCCACAGTTTTTCCTCTTTATTAACATCTTGCCTTGTTGTAGTGTATTTGTTACAGTATGAACAAATGTCAATATATTATCTGAAGGTTTTTGTTTGTGTACATTAGCCTTTACTCTTGGTGGTGTACATTTTATGGGTCTGACAAATATATAGTGATGTGTATCTACTATTTAATATCATACGGAATACTTCTCTGAAAATCTCCTGGGTTTCACCTATTCATCTTTTTTTCTTGGCCTTTTGGCAATTAATCTTTTTACTATCCTATAGTTTTGCCTTTTTTGGAATGAAATATAGTTGTAATCAAAGTATGTAGCCTTTTCGTGTTTTTTCACTCGGCAGTATATATTTAAGTGTCATTTTAATGGCTTACTACAGTGCTGGCAAACTTGTGGCGTGTGGGCTGCAGCTGGCTGTTTATGCCAGTGAAAGCTCTAAAAAGTTAGTCATCACTGGCTTAGTAGCTCATTTCTGCTTACTGCTGAATAACATACATTGTCTGGATTTACCAGTTTGTACTTTCACATAGTGAGGAATATCTTGATTGCTACCCAGTTTTAGTTACAAATAAGTAAAGCTGTTGTGAAATGCAAGTTTTTTTGAGGTTTTAAGTTTTTAGCTCATTTGGGTAAGAAACAAGGACTGTGATTACTGGGTCATATGTAAAATTACATTTACTTTTGTAAGAAACCAACAGACTGTGGCTGTACCTTTTTGAATTCCCAGCAGCAATGAATAAAAGTTGTGTTGCTCTACCTCGCTATCATTTTGTTGTCATTGTTTTGGATTTTAATTACTTTAATAAGTGCATAGTGGTAACTCATTTTAATTTTTAGTCCCTCATGGCATAGACCATGGTGCATCACCGTAGGTTTGCCATCCTTAATCTTCTTTGGTGATAGGTATATTTAGATGTTTTTCCCTTTTAGTTGGATTGCTTTCTTCTTGTAGAGTTTTTAAGATTTTTTTATATATTTTAAATACCAGTCCTTCATTAGATATCGTAGAGAACAGGGAAAGGGGATGTCACTAGAACTTCTGTAGTAAGTCTTAGTCTCTTGCAAGCCATGACAGCACAAGGTGAATTAACTTACTATACAGGAAAGAGAGGAAAAATGAGACTTTGAGAAGAAGCTGAGCTTTGGGCCTGATCATTTGCTGCTCTGGGTGGCAAAGGTGGAAGCCTCAGAGCCTGCCACACCTTTATTCAGTACACTGGGAGAAATAATTGGGAGAAAAAAAGTAAGGGAGGGCTGGGGCAACAGAAATCCTAGAACAGTGAGGAACTATGCAGATGAAGATTTGGTTCCTCCTAGGCTGTCTCCAGCTGGTGTGGTCCTGCTGTGGAACATCACAGCATCTCAGTACCCTTGAAGTCTTAGCTGTGACCCAAGGTGAAGATGGAGTTATGTCTCGACATGCCCGTAGCTGGCCTGTGGACAGGAAAACTAAGCCCTAATCATGATTTTCTCCCAAAATTATGTAGAATTGCTCCCAACAAGATAGGTGTTTTGCAGATTCTTCCAGTCTGCAATTTTTTTCATACTTTTAACAGTGTCTTTACTGTTGAGCAGTTTTACATTTTAGTGAAGTCTAGCTTAACATTTATTTCTGTCAGGGATCTTGCTTTTGATATTTTATCTGAAAAATTTATTGCCAGACTCATGTTCACCTAGATATTCTTTTTTTGTTTTTTTGGTACCGGGGATTGAACTCGGGTCCTTGCGCTTGCAAGGCAGGCCACTGAACCGCTGGGCTAAATCCCTGGCCCATCGCCTAGGTTTTCTCTGAGGTTATTTTCCAGAATTGCAAAAGTTTTGTGATTTATACGTAGATCATACATTCATTTTGATTTAATTTTTATGAATGGTGTAAGCTTTGTATCTATTTATTTTTTTCAAATCTGAATGTCCAGTGGTTCTAGCACCATTTAGAACTGATCCTTCTTCATTGTGTTGCCTTTACTCCTGTGTCAAAGGTCAATTGACTATATTTATGTAGATTTATTTCTGGATTTTATTTTGTTTTGTTGATCTGTTTGTCTCTTCTTTCATCGTGATTACCCTGTCTTGATTACTTCAGTGTTTCAGTAACTTTTGAGGTCCGTATTCTGTGTCTTTTGCCACTTTGCGTAAACGTCAAAATAATTTTATTTCACAAAATAACTTCCTGGAATTTTGATTGGGACTGTGTGACTGTAGATTTAAGTTGGCAGAATTGACATCTTAACAATATGTATTGATTTTTCTATTTGTAAATATGTAATATTTTTCTGTTTATCTGAGTCTGACTTATTTCATTGAAATTTTATACTTTTCCTTTTAGATCTTCTGTATGTTTTATTAGATTTACATCCATATACTTCATTTGTTTTGGTGGTGGTGTAAATAGCTTTATGTTTTTTGTTCCAAATGTAAATTGCTCATTGCTAGTATATAAACAAACAATTGGCTTTTGTAAATTTACCTTCATTTTGTAGCCTTCCTTTTCTTACCACTTCTGAGAGTTTTTAGTTTGGAAAAAATCTTCATAAATAATTATATAATCTGTGGAGATAAACATCTTTATTTCTTCTTTTCCAATATCTATACATCATTCATTTTACTTTTTAAAAAAAAATTCATTAGCTAAGACTTCCAGTGCAAAGTTGACTAGGAAATGAGAGTGGATTGCTCCTGACCTAGGGGTAAATCATCTAGTTTCACATTTTTAAGTTTAATATTAGCTGATATTTTGGGGGTTAGGTGTTTTTTATTAAGTTGAGAAAGCTCCCTTTTATTGCTATTTAGCTCATAGTTTCATTTAAAAAATTTTTTTTTCTCATTGAGTTTATTGGTACATTTTAGGCATACAGTATAGTTACATTCATCATTGGGATCTTGTACCTTTACATGACAGGTCTTGGTTCTCATTTTTTCCCTTATCCCTGGCCTCCCTTCAGCCCCTCCTCCCTTCCCTATTTACAAATACTTTATTTCCATTTTTTCATGTTTTTTCCTTTTCCCTTATTACCTTTCCCATTTTGTTTTTTTAAATCTTGAATGGGTATTGGATGTTTGTTAAATATTTTAAAAAATAATTTCAGATTTATAGAATAATTTATATAGAGAATTCAAGTATACCCTTCATCTAGTTTTCCCTAACATCCTACTTAGCTAAGGTACTTTTGTCAAAAGTGTTACTGTTAACCAAACTCTAGACTTTATCTTGTGTGTTAGTTACTTTTCTCCTTGCTGAGACAAAATACTCAATGCTCAAAGTTAAAGGGGAAAGGTTTTTTGTGGTTCACAGTTAACAGAGGTAAGACTTCAGGGCAGGGTGGCATGGCAGACTGGCATCTTAGAGGAGAAAGTTCATGGTGAGCAGAAGGTAGCAAAGCAGTGTAGTGAGGAAGTAGTAGCTGCAGCAGCCTGTCGCTCCCTTTTATTCCTTCTAGGCTACTGGCCCTTTGGGTGGGGCCACCCATTTCCAGAACTATGCCAAATCAATCAGTGGACTGATTTACACATCCTTATCCCAGCATCATGCACTAAATCCCAGCATCCTATACCCTAGATCCAGCCACCTCTAAAATGCCCCACCTATGATCACATGAGGCTTTGAAGGAACATCTAGACACAAGCCATAACATTGGGTTTTTAAGAAATTTTCCACTAATGTCCTTTTACTATTCCAGGATCCAATCTAGGATGCCACATTGCACTTAGGAATCACAATGGGAAAAAAACCCAAAAAAACCTCAGTATGAAAACAAAAGATCACATGGTCCAGGGACTTCATGGTTATTCCTGAGTTCCAGAGGCCTCAAGGGCCTGAGTTCTAGGGTAGCAGGGACTCTGCTTATGGACCTAGGACTGTACCCTGCTTTTCTGGACACTGAGAGGTCTTTTTACTGTTTCATGTTCCTCCTACCTAACAATTTTCCTTTTCTCTTCCTTTATATATTTTCAGATTGGACTTTTATTAGCAGTGGCAGTTTGCTGTCATTTCTGTTCTACAATATACTATTAGCTAATCTGTGAACATACTTAAAGCATTAATCCATGGGAAGGTCCGTTAGTTGTAACATTATTTGAAGTTGGAACCATGGGCAAACATACTTGGTGCTGTAGGAGACCTCAGTGAGATGGCTTTGACTATAATTGACTAAAGTGAATTGAATTTGGAAATTCATTGGCTTGGTTTTGGGTATATTCTCTTTATCATAACTTTTATATGTATAACTATTTTGAATAAAAGATAATCCTGATGATTTTTTTTCCCCAGCATTGGATTAAATTGTGCTCTAGGTGCAACTGAAATGCGACCTTTTATTGAAACAATTGGAAAATGTACAAATGCCTATGTCCTTTGTTATCCCAATGCAGGTAAGTGTTGCAAGGTTTGCTTATGGAAAAGTGCAGATCCACAAGGCATGTAGATGGGGTTACAGATCTTGATTAGAAGAATTTGTTTTGTAGGTCTTAGTATATAGTTGACATTCATAAAAGGGGTTTGAAAAGTATTTAGACCTAGACCAGTGTTTCCCTTAGTACCTGCAGGAACAGTTTGACTCACCTTGAAGCTTCAGAATAGGACATACTTACAGAAATTGAGCCTAGTCACATAATTGACCTGGAGCATTAATTTTGATAGCAGCGCTTGCCTTGTGGATGTGGCCAAGAGATAGGCAAAGAGGAGAGGGATCCATTTTCTTTTCCAGTCTATTAGACAAACAGCAGAAGAATTTTCAATGCTGTCACCTTTTCCTCTCTAAAAGCTAGTACTTCTAATTTACTTTGTGTAAAATTTGTAGATAATTCTCAAACCATCCGGTTAAATATTGGTAATCTGTTTTGGGTTAGCCAGGTTTTTTTTTTTTTTTTTTCCTCCTTTTGAGAAAGGGTCTTACTAAGTAGTTCATGTTTTCTTTGAACTTACTCTGTGGCCCAGGTTGATCTTGAACTTATAGTGATCCTGCTGCCTCTGTCACCTGAGTGCTGGGATTACAAGTGTACACCACCACACCTGGCTATTTTCTAGTCTTTTCTTTTTTCTTTTTCTTTTTTTCTTTGAGGCAGGGTCTCACTATGTAGTTGAGACTGATCTGGAACTCACTGTATAGCCCAGGCTGGTCTCAAACTCACAGCAATCCTCCTGCCTCAGCCTCCCAAGTGCTGGGATTACAGGCGTGTGCCACCAAGCCCAACCTTTCTAGCCTTTTCTTTCCAAATATATGTATTTTTAAATGCATAATTTTATTTCTCACATAAAGTAAGTAACTAGAAGGAGATAATAAATAAACAGAAACTAGATTGAGGCTGAAAAGTCTTGGGAAAACTGATTTGGAAGGAGACTGGTTGTTTTTGTTTTTAATTGCATGTCAGGTCCTCTTTAGTTCAGAGAATATGCAGTGCTCCCCTGCCCCATCCCCAAGCAGCTTGGCAACAAGAGTTAATTTCTCTGTGGAGGTGGAAGTAGAGGGTAGGGCTGTCCTGTTAGTTATGCATCAGATAGAAAAGAAATAATGAATGTTTATTTTTTTCTGTGATTTTTTTTGGGGGGATATATGTGGTGTCTTTGTTTATTATCTAAATATTTGTAGTATATTACTAGGTTTTGCAAGTAATCACCATTATCAATATTGATTTGTAAAACTTTTAACCTAAAACCTTTAAAAATATGAGGTATATGTATACATTTATATATTTTTAAGGTCGTTTTGAATAATGGTTGAAATGTCTTTTCTCAGGTCTTCCCAACACTTTTGGTGACTATGATGAAACGCCTTCCATGATGGCTATGCAACTAAAGGTCAGGGAGCCTCTTTCACTTGGGTTTTTGAGACAGATAGAATTTTACACTTAGAATATTTATAAGCAGAATTTTCCTCCAATGAAATTCCAGTATTTAAATAACAAAAATTTGGCTGCTCTGTATTAAGATTGTAAAGACATAGAGAAGGGCTAACTTAGCTATCATCATCCTTATTGCCAGTTTGCATTGGTGGCTGTTGGAAAATTTCCATTGAGGTCAAAACTTGGCTCTCTGGGCTGTTGCTTACTGTGTAACCTCCCAAGTAATGACACACCCCCATACCTCTCTGTTCCTCTGTGTGCTGGGTAGAGTGGATGTCCTCCTGGCCCATACTGTCACTTTTGTCATCCTCTTTGGCATACCTGCTTGCCCTCTTTGAATCATGAAACTCTCCTGTCCACTGCTGTTCCTTAGTGCACCCGTCTCAACCCCTGGGGCTCTTTCCCTCATTCCTTGATCTTTTCTCTCCTGGATCAGTGATGTTCTCTTCTAAACTATTTCTGACTTAATTTGTATGATTCTAGTATTTTTCATAGATGCTTTTCACAGAGTCCTTGACTCAGGACCTTGACTTCCTGTCTCAGTTCCTGGGTTCTTCACTCACCAGCCTCTGCTTAACCTTTGGACTTCTGCTGTCCAGTACGGAGCCACCACCACGTGTACTTACCAGAGCACTTGACATGTAGCTAGTGTTACAGAGGAACTGATTTTTTAAAAAATTACATTTAAAAACTGATAATCATTTTATGTGTTATTTGAAATTATATCATCCATACTCATTCACCTCAGCATATGGGTAAAAAAACTAACATCAGATAGGCAAATGAATCTCTCATTCCATTTTAAGTGGCATAAAATATTTCTTAGTAACTAAACTGCAAAAAAAAAAAAAAAAAAAAAAGAAAGCGCAGTGGGCCAGGTATTTAGCTCAGTGGTTCTGGCACCTGCCTAATAAGCTCAAGGACCCAAGTTTGATCCCTGGTACCAAAAAAAAAAAAAAAAAAAAGAAACTATTTTTTTCCTTGTATCTAGGGCTTGTGAAATTTTTATAGCTAGAGTTAAGTATCTTCAGTTCTCTTTCTTCCCACCTGCCAGTTGATAGATCTATTTGACAGCATCTCACTCTCTAGTCCAGGCTGGCCTCAGACTTGTGAACCTCTTGTCTCGGCCTCCCTAATGCTAGGATTATGGGCATGTACTTCCACACCTGGCTTGTTTAGCTTTCTTTTTAGGATAATGTTAGTTGTTCAGGAAATACAGAAAGTGAAAGATTTTATGCTGAATTGGTTTTGGTGAGTTTAGAATTCAGATGAACTTGCTGAAACTTTTCCTAAATGCAGGACTTTGCTGTGGATGGCTTGGTCAATATAGTTGGCGGATGCTGTGGTACAACACCAGATCATATCCGGTAATAATCACCTCTTGATATTTTACCTTTTGTTATGTTTTGAATTATGTTTGCCTGCAATTTGTATATTAAAGTCTGAACCCCTACTAACACAGATTATGACTGTATTTGGAGATAGGGCCTTTAAAGAGGCAGTTCAGGTAAAATGGATGGGGCCACCATAATCCAGTAGGACTGCTGTCCTTAGAAGAGGATGCAGATGCACACACTGAAGGAAGACGGTGTAAAGGCCCAGGGACACAGTTGTCTTCAAGCCTTGGGGAAAGACCTTTGAAGAGACCAAGCCTACCAATGCCTTAACACAGACTTCTGTCCTCCAAATTATGAGAAAATAAATTCCTGTTTTTTAAGCTACTGGCCTGTGGTATATTGTTCTTGCAGTGCTAACAAAGTAATATACCTTTATATTATGAAAAAATTCTAAAAATAAAAATAGAAAAATAGTAAAGTGAGTGTCCATGTGCCTACCACAGGGTTGCCATAATTTTCAAGGTTTTTCCATTCTTATATTATCCCCCAAATTTTCCCTTGAAATATTACAAGGCAAATCCCAGACATCATGATACTCTACCCTTAAGTAACATTTGAACATTCAAAGAGAGCCAGCTTTTGTTTCTTGTGGGTAGTACCTACCTCTATTGGAATTATTTCATGGAAGTAAAAGACAGTAAGATTGTTACAGAAGGAATTGGCAAGTGACACACAGAGAGGCAGCAGAATGGAAGTAAAATAACAGAAGTTTACTCCATTGATGGAGATGGATCACACCTAATGGCGGTGCCCTGACTGATCCCTTACTGGGCTGCAACTCCACTTTTTATAGGTTTTTACAGCCTTGATCTCATTCAGGTGGTTACATTGCATTTTCACAGTTCACATTGCTGATATTCAAAACATGGTGGCAAGGCAGTTGAATTTCAACTTGGATGTAGCACTTTGTTGGGGGAGTTACCTTTAAAATTCATTTGGAGGCCAGGTGTGGTAGTGCACGCCTGTAATCCCAGCACTTGGGAGGCTGAGGCAGGAGGATTGCTGAGTTTGAGACCAGCCTGGACTACATAGTGACTTCCAGGTCAGTCTCAACTACATAGTGAGACCCTGTCTCAAAAAACCAAAAAAAAAAAAAAAAAAAAAAAAAAAATTCATTTGGTTATCTAGCCCAGAGGAAAGGGGTGTGTCTGGTCAGCAAAGTTAACAGTGGTTCTTTTCATTTATAAAACTTTTTAGGGAGACTAGATGCCTCTGGTTCCAGTTAATTCTGAACTAAACAGAGCAAAGGGCAGAAGTTATCTTACAGTGTGACATTTCCTAGGTGTTTTGCTATTAAAGTGTTCTCTGTCAAAGTAAGTGTCTTGAGGTCAAGAAGTATCTTCATTTGGCCTGGTACAGCCATTGCTTAATGTATGAAGGAAAGCAGTGAAATGAGAGCAAGGCCATGTGTGTGTTTTAATTCCTTACAGTTTAGTGGCTTCTAGGAAGAGTGGAGCTCGGTGAAACATGACATAATTTTGCACTTTTTGTGTTTATCTTTTTCCTTAAAGTGACTGATGATCATATTTTGAACCAGTCCTCTCAGTGTTCTATTTTCATGCATATATAATGTGCGTACTTTACTAAGTTGCTGAATAGTTCTCTGCTTTTGTTGACTTCTGTAACAGACTATGTACATGTGCATTACTAGAGATTGAACTCAGGACCTTGTGCATGACAAGCACATGCTGTAACACCGAGTTAATACCCCATCCCCAGTTTTCAAAAATCTTTTATATCTAAAAGCCAGGAATAGTTTAATATACCTTTTCTTTGGATTACAGACTAAACTTTTTGTTTTTAAAATCATTTCTCTTTAAAAAGAGGAATTGTTTTAAATATCTCTCTGTATTTGTATTTGTATGTGTAGGTCTATAGCTGTTTATATATTTGCTGCTTTTACTCGGACCTGTACCTGCTAATTGAAAAGGCAGTAAAGAGAACAGTGCTCTCTGGAGTTCATTGGAGAAGCCAGACTTTTTCTGGCTGATCAAAATCAAGATTTGTTAGAGCTGAGAAAGTTAGGAGAGTATGAATGACTAAAATAGTTTGAGAAGTATTTTGAAGTGTTACTACTCTTAATACTGTGTGCCCTCTGTACTGTGTGTGTCCTGTAATAAAATTGGTGCAGAGGACTTGATTGCCATCTATTGCTGGTCCATCTGCTTCTATCTGCTGCCCCTTGTCAGAGCTGAGGCTTTTTCTTGGTTAAACTAGTGAGTAAGCAAAGCAGTAAGGCATGTTCTTTACACACATGTTCTGTGTGTGGGCTTGGAAGAGTAAAGGACATCTGTAGGTTTGGTGAAGGGGAGGAGGTTTGTAGTGTGTATTTGGGCAGACGCTCACACATCTCACATTTCATGGGCAGAAACAACACAGCCAGCACAAAGCCAACTGGGCAGGCACATAAAATTTAAGGTTTATAGCTTAATTTCCTGCACACTAGGAAAAATAAAAGGCATAATTGCTGTTGTACATTTGAAGTAGGCATATAATTATGTGCACAGTTATATTAGTAGTACTTATTTCATAGCTATAAAATTATTTTAATTAAATTTATTTTATTCTGCGTTAATGAATAGTATTTTCTCTTAACTCAGGGAAATTTCTGAAGCTGTGAAAAATTGTAAGCCTAGGGTTCCACGTGCCAGTGTTTTTGAAGGACATATGTTACTCTCTGGTAAGTCATGAAGACATGATGATTATGATTTCAGAAATCATTTGTGGAATGTATTTAGTATATTTATTCTAGCACTTTGTTTGCTTTTGTTTTTGCTACCGGGGATCGAACTCAGGTCTTTGTGCTTGTGAGGCAGGTGGCAGATCCACTGAGCTAAATCCCCGGCCCTCAAGTATGCTTATTCTAAATGGTAGTGATATTTGTGTCAAAAACTTATCAAAGAGGAGAACGTATTTTCTTGGCACTTCACTGAATTCTAGTGAAGAACCCTTTCTTTTTCTAGGTGTGGGGATAGAAAGACATCAGCTTCAGGGTAAAGTAAATTAAGGCCCCAGATGATTTGCTCAGATTACCATGAGAACTCTGCGGTACAGTCTTTATTGTGCACTATTTTGAAGAACCACCTTGACCACAGCCTAACAGGTTTATTGTATTGATACTGGTTATTGAAAATTCCAGACTGCCAAGGCTTAGTGTTGAGTAATAGCAGCAGTATCATCCAGGAAAATTTTGTGTGTTTCTAAAGTGTTATTGTGTTCTTATATATTTGTTGTAGGTTTGGTACTTCACAAAGAATTGTGTATTTATATTTTGTTTGGTTTTCAACAGTTCTGTTAGTCTCTTATTTTCAGCATGTGTGTTTTTTGTTTGTTTGTTTGTTTTTTTCCCAGTACTGGGGATCAAACTCAGGACCTTGTGCTTGTGAGGCAGGTGTTGGTGCTACTGAGCTAAATCCCCGGCTAGCCTCAGCATATGTTTTGATATTCAAAGAAGGAACTAATAAAATTCGTTTTGCCTGATCTTAAGGAAATATTAGATGGCAAGTTTAAGCCAAAAATATATTTGTGTAGAGAAACTGAGCATAACACATGAGAAATTGTATTTTCTTATCGCTTATAGTTAATATCTCTATAGAATGAGACATGTTTGTTTCATATGTTATCCTAAGAAAGGCAAAATAAAATACAAGGGACAGTAAGAGTAATACTGACTTTTCTCAGTCAAAGTATATTCATAGAGTTAGCCCTAGCGAGTGTAAAGTTGAGTCAATAAACATACTTGTTTGTGGTAGTCTTCTTTTACTTTTGTGTTGGAGAGGCAGAACATGAGATTTGGAAAGGTGAAGTTTATGATTTATGAAACAGTGCCTTTGTTAGAGAAAAGTGGGACAGGAAGGTTTACCTTATCCTTGGAACTTGCGTTTTCTGTTACTTCAGCCAAGCACTGATAACAAAGATAGCTGACCTTTGTTGGACTCTGAACAACATATGATGTATTTTTCTTAGAATTTATATGTAAGAATTATTTTTCTTGAATTGTAATCTCATACTCTTTCTAAAAGTGACATCAAACCCTTGTTTTTAACTTGTTTTATTCTTTTATAAATTGCAGACTTGAGAGAAATCAGTTTCGGTATCAGATATTTGATCTTCATAATAAAATTAAACTGTGTGAAATGCTGTTAGGGAGGTCTCATAAGAACTCTTCAGAATTTAAATGTTGGCATCTCTATTTGCCTGTCTTTTGAATCCCCACTTAGCCTAAGGGTCAGGGGTGCTCTGAAGCTAGCTCAGGCCCATGAGGATCATTATCAGTGGGAAAGGGAATTAGAAGCTGAAACTATGGAAAATAATTTTCTTCTCAGTAAGTGAACAGATGTTATGGAATGGTTTTATAGTTGGCTAGCCTATATTCATTAATTTATTTGCTGGTTGTTTTTTTTTTTTTCCTTTTTGATACCAGGGATCAAACTTTTGTCTTTGGACTTGTGAGGCAGGCAGCCACACCACTGAGCAAAATTCAGGGCCCAGGATTTAGCTCAGTGGTGTCGTCACCTGTCTCACAAGAGCAAGGTCCTGAGCTTGATCCCCCATACCAAAAACAATAAAAATCCCTGGCCCTATTATATGCTGCTTTTTAAACCAGTGTTTTGGCAAAGGATTGAGAAGCCATATTACTTTATTAATAACAGTTATGATTGCCAGTGTTAACTTTGTGCTTATGAGTGTTTTCCAGTTTCACTTTATAATAATAAAAGGTAGATACTTTCCTGTCCCTGTCTTATAAGCTTAGAGGCTGTGTATGTAGGAAATTGCTTTGGGTTGTCTGCTCAGGTAAGTAATATGAACTTAGCTGTCTGCCTCCAGAGCCTGCCTATAATCATCCACTGAGATTACCTTCTCTTAATAGTTTAAAAATAACAACAAAAGCAGTTGAAACCCTTTTCTGTATCTATACTGTATGTTGCTTTTTTACTGCAATTAATTTGCCCACATATTTTATGTGACATTTACCCCTGAATTGGCCTGTTTTGTGAAATGGAGCAACGTTGTAGGTATACTGTTGTTGGAATTACGATGGCTTGCTTCATTAGCTTCAAACTGATGTCTGAGGTATGAAACCAATCCACTTTTTATTTCCAACTTTCTTGATGGCTTTTGCCCCTCACTCTTGGTTATACAGGGTTATGATGATAACTTTTCCTTTTTTTTCAGAGATGGTATGGTTCAGCCAGTTAGGGGTATTTGTAGTTTAAAACCCTGAATTATTTCTTTTGAGAGTTCCGGCTATAGATGTAGCTGCAGTGTGGAGCCTTTGTTGCATTTGCGTCTTCCTAGAGCAGACTGTGGTTCTGTTTCTGCATCGGATCTCCTGTCCATCTGCTCACTTGATCTTTGGCACAGTGATGTCTTTCTTACTGAAAACATCTGTGTTTATGGGTCTTGTGTCATTGATAAGCATTTTCAGGAATGTAAAAAAATACTTCTCATTTTAACCTCTCCTTTTAAGGTCTAGAGCCCTTCAGGATTGGACCATACACCAACTTTGTTAACATTGGAGAGCGCTGTAACGTGGCAGGATCCAGGAAGTTTGCTAAACTCATCATGGCAGGAAACTATGAAGTGAGAATCCTTGTGGGACCCCAGAGGCGTCTGCTATGTCCCTGGCTAGTTAGTCTGTCAGTGAAAAGAATTCTGCCCTGGGTCAGTGCTGTTAGAGAGGCTAGGAAGTGTGTGAAGATGGTAATGGGCATTCACAGCAGGTGTTAGTGGGACAGTTGAAGCTGCTGTTGTCAGTACTTGTTACATTTAGAGAATGAAGTGGGATGAGATGGGTAGGTTATAGCTTCTAGTTAGTTCTATTAACTGGCAGGTGAATGCCTTCATTTTGGCCTCTTACAAATCCTTGTTGGAAAAGGGAAAGCCAAGAAAATTTTTACTTAATTCCTCCTGGTAGTTCCAAATGTTGATTGATGAGGGATTGATCCTATTATCTATAGACTAAAATGAATAAAATAGATCATTACTTTGAAAATTTATGTAATAACTTTAGCCATGGTCACTCTTAATCTACACCAAGCTACTCTGGCTGCTGACCTCTCCAGTCAGAAGTTCTGCGAAACAACTTTTTGCACGTAGAATGAGATCCAAATTTTTGAGGCACCATTCTGTCCTGTCCACCAGGGTATAATGCTTTTCCATTCTGATTCATCATCTGTACACCCTGCAGGCTTGCTTCTTATGCTGTACCTAGTTCATGTTAGCTCCTTTCAGAAGTGCTGATGACCCTTGCTAGTCATGCTGTGTTCTGCAGTTGGCAGTGCTTCTACTTAGGTTTTGATTCCTCTGCCCATTCTGTGGTGTCCTTTTCATCTCTCTGATTTAATGAGCATGATACTGAGAGCAGACACTCCTTTAGGAAGAAGCAAACTGGTAAAAGTAATAATATCTGTTATTTAGTATGATCTTTTCTTTGTACTAGTCACTGAATCAGTGCAATACAGTTGTGTCATGTACTCCAACTAGATGGAAACCCTTCAAGAATGAGGGCTGGGAGGTGCCCCTCTTTTTATTGTGTACATTATTTAATCATTACTAATAGGGAAAAACATTTTGCTGGATTTAATTGTGATCATTCTTTGTGCATCCTTGCCTCACTGAGAAAGGTGTTTCCTTATGGCCTGTTCCAGAGGATTTCATGCTTATTCCATCACAATGACTGATACAAATTCCTATTTGATTTTCTTGGACTAAGAAAAAAATCTGGCCATATCAACACTTACTACTGATTTTATACTTGATTATCACATTGAAGACTACAGTGAAGACTTAAGAAGACAATGCTTTACCAGTTACAATGCTTTACCAGTTCACTGTAGAATAAGCAGTGTTTTCCTAAAGTGTGTTCTTTGGAACACTGGTCCTCCAAGAGTTTCCTTAAATGGTCATTATTGGGAAATTCTGTTTAAAGTATTTTGTTCTTGGAGAGTTGCAATATATATATTAAAAGATTTGAAAAGCCTTCCAGAAGAATAAAAACGGAAGAGTTACATGACTGGATGGTTTCTCCAAAGACTGTCTGTAAGGACTCTTTCTGCCTCTGCCTCTGCCTCTGCCTCTGCGTGTGTGTCGGTGTCTGTCTTTTGCATTACTGGCGATTGAACCCAGGGCCTGACATCTAAGGACTTTCCTTGAAGGAGATGGGACTTCATCACAGTGCAAACCAGTACAGAGGGAAAAGGGAATGTGATCTGTAGAAATGAACTTGGGTGGTTGAGGGATATAGTAGGGGCTGAATGGGCTATAAAGTTGCCTCTGCTCCTCGACTACCAGCTGAGTTTAGATTCTTTACGGTAGGAAAACAGCCTTGGTAGATTCCAAGTACTGAAATGATGTTATGAGAGAGATACTTGAGGAAGATTAATCTGGTCAGTGCTGTGGGGAGGAGGGCAGGCCCAGAGTCAGGGAGTGGGGCTAATGAGTTTAGTGTAGTTGGAAAGGACTACTGGTGGTGGTGAGGGATTATTTTGTTAGTCTTCTCTGAGTCACCATCTCCTAATGATGATTCTTCTTGAATTCTTCCCTCAGGAAGCCCTGAGTGTGGCCAAAGTGCAGGTGGAAATGGGAGCTCAGGTGCTGGATGTCAACATGGATGATGGCATGCTAGATGGTCCAAATGCAATGACCAGATTTTGCAACTTCATTGCATCCGAGCCTGACATTGCCAAGGTTGTACAAAGTTTACACTCAGCAAGGAAATTTACTCTGTCACTCAGTTGGGTTTGCCAGTTGCTTCATTTATCTGTCCGTGGATAAACTGTTTTATTCCATATATTGAGAGCACCCTGGTTTCTGATTTTCAACTTCTTTGAAAAATGATGTTTTTGACATAAGCAGATTTTAGAGATAGATACTCCTCCAGCTTTGCAGTTTCCAAGACTTCTGGGATTGGTCATGGGATTCAAGTGAATTTCCCTACATGTCTGGATAGACTGAGAACTCATTTTTCATGTTTCCAAAGAGTGTGCTTTCCTATTCCTGCTTCAGCGGGGGAACTCAGTGATCCTTACTATAGGAAGAAGAGACCTTGTAGGGCTTACTAGGTTAAGACAGTAATATAAATAGTGTCAAATCAAAGTATTTTATCAGCTTTTATATTTGTTCTTTAAAAGGTGAAAGTTAATTTTTGTGTTAGTCTTTTAAAAATTTTTAGAAGGGTTAAAAAACTCACCTAACTTATCTGCCATCAAATCTGTGATGAGTGATCCTCCTCCCCTTCAGTACTGGGGATCGAATCCAGGGGCTTCCATATGCCAGGTAAGTTCTCTACCATAGCCCTTTTTAAAAATTTTTATTTTGAGACAGCCTTGCTGAGTTTCTCAGGCCAGCTTTAACTTGAGATCCTCCTGTCTTAGTTTCCCGAGTAGCTGGGATTTCAGATGTGTGTTACTGTACTGGGCTTGATATTATTTTTATAAAGCAATTTTCTGGTACTTTGCAGTTGTATGTTTCAGGTTGGGCTCTGATTTTCATTAGGCTTCAGCAAATGCTTAAGTTAGAGTTGTGGTAAGTGCTATCCATCTATCATTTGTGTATTTTTTTTTCCTCATTGAGATTATTGGTACAATTTAGGTATACAGTACAGTTACATTCATTATTGCGATCTTGTACCTTTACATGACAGGTCTTGGCTCTCATTTTTTCCCCTTGTCCTTGCTCTTCCTTCACCCCCTCCTCCTCTCCCCCTTTACAAACACTTCATTTCCATCTTTTCATTTTCTCATATTTTTTCTTTTCCCTTATTACCTTTCCCCTACCTTTCCCAATTTCCCTACACCTTTAGCCCCTTTCTTCCTATTAAACGATGTCAGTTATCTCATTAGGATCTTATGTACTATTACAGTTTATTCACACCAGAGAAACTATTCGGTATTTACACGTGTGACTTATTTATTTCACTTAGGAGTATATCCTCAATATATATCCATTTTCCTATGAATGAATCTAATTTATCATTCTTTATGGCTGAGTAATATTCAGTTTTATAGAAAAACCACATCTTCTTTATCCAATCTCCAACTGATGGGCAAATGGGCTGTTTCCAAGTTTTAGCTATTACAAACTGTGCCGCTACAAACACAGGTGTGCATATATCTCTGTGATATGATTCTTTTAATTCTTTTGGAAAGATACCCAGCAGAGGGATGGCTGGGTCAAATGGAATCTCTAGTCCCAGCTCTTTGAGGTATCTCCATATTGATTTCCACAGGGGTTGCACCAGTCTGCACTCCCACCAATAATGGAGAAGGATTCCTTTCTCCCCACAACCCTGCCAACATTTGTTATTGTTTGATTTCTTGGTAGCAGCCATTCTTTGTGGAGTGAGGTGGAATCTCAGTGTTGTTTTCATCTGCATCTCTTGATGACCATTAAAATCCAAGTGGATTAAAGATCTAAATATTAAAACAGAAACACTAAACTTGCGGGAAGATAAGTTAGGCAGAACTCTGGAAGACATTGGCATAGGAAAAGACTTTATGAACAAATCCTCAGTAGCCTGGGAACTAGCACAAAGAATCAACAGTTGGGATCTCATCTTATTAAAAAGCTTCTGCACTGCAAAAGAAACCATCAACAGGACTAAGAGACAACCTACAATGTGGGAAAAAATTTTTACCAGCTGCTCCTCAGACAAAGGACTATTATCCAGAATATGTAAAGAACTCAAAACAGTCAGCCCCCAAATATAAGGACCCAATTCAAAAACGGGCATGTGAAATGAACAGACATTTATTTCTCAAAGAAGTAAAAGCAGCAAGTAAATATATGAAAAAATGTTCCGTATCATTTGTGTATTTAAATAAACCTCACCACTTTTGTGAGAATGAACCTTCTGAGAATTTAAAGTGCTAAGAATTCTCTGACCGGTTCAGAGTCAGTTGGAATCAGGGAACCAGGTGTCTATCAGCTCTGGTGGGAAGAAGGCTGGCTTCCATGCCGGATGGGCTAGTGAGCCTCGCTTCCTGTCTCATATCTGAAATGCGCTAGTCAGGCCTGCTTTTCTGATTCATGAGTTAAAATGATAAAAGTGCCTTGCAGCCATGAAGGACATCGTGTATTTTAAGAGATTATCATTATTACACTGTCCTCTCTTTGCTGCAGACATTTTCCTTATCTTTTTTGGTTTTGTTCTGCAGTACTACTAAAATTTATTGGTGATCAAATTTTGGCTAATTGTGGTAAAACACAAATGTGTTTCATGCGTACATTTTTACCACTAGGGTTGAAACACCACATTGTCAACAAAACTCTTTGACATGTTCACAACAGGGCAGTAATTCCACGTATGTCTTGCTGCTGGGTGGCTCTGAGCCATCAGTGGTGTGTGCATAACTGTTTGGGTGCCAGCCCTTGGAAGGGGATGTGTGGTGACTTGTGATGTCATGATTTTCTTGTTCCTCTATCTTAGGTGCCCTTGTGCATTGATTCTTCCAATTTTGCTGTGATTGAAGCTGGGTTAAAGTGCTGCCAAGGGAAATGCATAGTGAATAGCATTAGTCTGAAGGAGGGAGAAGAGGACTTCTTGGAGAAGGCCAGGAAGATTAAGAAGTTTGGAGCTGCTGTTGTAGTCATGGCTTTTGATGAAGAAGGACAGGTGAGTGATTTCTATTGGCCCAGCTCCATTGTATCACCCAGATGAGATAGCAAGGGAGAAAAGAGAGTCCAAAACAGTTGGACTCTGTATGTATGTACATACACATACACACACCCTCCATATCTGTTTATAAGCACACATATACATATGTCTGTCTGTATGAAGATTTGATATATAAATAAAGTCTTTACATCAGTGGAGAAAGATTGAATTATTTAGTAAATACTATAGGGACAAATGGTTATGCATTTGGACGAAAATAAAGCTAGATCCCTGTTTTAAACTATTTTGTGCTGCTGTAACTATATGCTTGGTATTTGACTCACTGTTCTGGAGGTTGAAAAGTCTTAGGATTAAAAAAAAAAAAGATTATACCTGGTACGAGCCTTCTTTGCTATATCATCACATGGCTGGAGGTCAAAATGAGAGAGAAAAGAGAGAATGGAACTTGGTTTTATACCTAACCCATGCTTGTGGTAACCAACATACTCTACTCTCGTATCTGCTCTCATATCTCATATCTACTCTTGTGATAACAATGTGAATCCATTATTACTTTTATTGTTATTATTATTTTTTTATACCTGGGATTGAACTCGGGCCCTTATACTTGAAAGGCAGGTAGAGAAACCACTGAGCTAAATCTCTGGCTCCTGAATCCATTATTAAAGGAAGAACTCTCATGATCTAATCTCTTCTTCACGGTCCTACCTTGGTACTAGCCCCATTTCCCACTATAATTAAGTCTACATTGATTAAAGATTTAAATGTACAAAGTTATAAATTACTTATAGAAAATATTAACTTAAACTTCTGATTTAGATGTTACTAAATGAAGAGGCCAAAAAGAAAATTGATAGTTATTCACATAAAAATGTAGAACTTTATATGATGAAAGATATGGTACTGTTTACAGCATGAAAAGTAGCAGTAGATAATATCTAATATGCACTGAGCATCTATAAGCCAGCAAGCAAGACATCCCAATCAACCAGTAGAGGAATGGACAAAAGAAATGATTAAGCAATTTGTAGAAAAAGGATTACAAATAGCTAATGAAGCAAAGAGCTGGGACTAGAGGTTCCATTTGACCCAGCCATCCCTCTGCTGGGTATTTTTCCAAAAGAATTAAAAGAACCACACCAGCGTGATATATACACACCCACGTTTATAGCAGCAGTTTGTAATAGTTAAAACTTGGAAACAGTCCAATTGCCCATCAGTTGGAGATTGGATAAAGAAGATGTGGTTTTTTCCTATAAAATGGAATATTATTTAACCATTAAGAACGAGAAATTAGATTCATTCATAGGAAAATGGATACATATTGAAGATATACTCCTAAGTGAAATAAATAAGTCACACAGGTGTAAATACTGAATAGTTTCTCTGGTGTGAATAAACTGTAATAGTAGATAAAATCCTAATGAGATATAACTGACGTCGTGAAATGAGAAGAAAAGGGCTAAAGGTGTAGGGAAAGTGGGAAGGGTAGGGGAAAGGTAATAAGGTAAAAAAATATGAAAAAATGAAAAAGTGGAAATGAAGTGTTTGTAAGTGGTAAGTGGGGAGGGGAGGAGGGGGGTGAAGGGAGGGCAGGGACAAGGGGAAAAAATGAGAACCAAGGCCTGTCATGTAAAGGTACAAGGTCTCAATGATGAATGTAACTGTGCTGTACACCTAAAATGTACCATTAAACTCAAAGAAAAAGAAAGCTAATGAAGCTATGGGAAAGTACTAAGTTTTGTAATGATTAAAGAAATAAAAGCAAAGCAATAAGATTATTTTCCTTTATAAAGGAGAAAAATAGAAGAGTGATAAATGGAAACCCTTGTAATATTCATGCCACGAATTCAGAGTGGGGCACATGGGAGGATGCTCCAGATAGAACAGAGCTGGGGATAACGATAGTGCTGGAGTGCTTGTGCAACTCCTTGGATTCAATCCACAGCGCCACAGGGAGCAAAATGAATATATCTGTGTATAATGATTGTTCAGCTGGGTCATGCATATACAGTGACTTTTGCATTATTATGTTTTATACTTCTATACATATTTTGATACTCAGTATTTGAAATGGTTAAAAAAATCCATTCCTTGTCATTAATTCCTTCCTAGAAATCTTGGGATAGGTTGAGTATGTAAGGGTATATATATTCACATTCACTGTAGCATTGTGGTAGCAAGAATTTTATTTCTTTTTGAGGTCCTGAGGTTGAACTCTGGGCCTCTGGAATTCTAGGCCAGCAGTCTACCACTGAGCTAAATCTCCAATAAAAAATTTGAGAACAGTCTAAATGCCCATCACTAAGGAAAAGCACAAGCCACAGAGAATACTATGCAGTGACTAAAAAGAATGAGGTGATTGCCGGATGTGGTGGCGTACTCCTGTAATCCCAGGACTTGGGAGGCCGAGGCAGGAGGATCACTGTGTGTTCGAGACCAGCCTGGACTACATAGTGAGTTCCAGGTCAGTCTCACCTACATAGTGAGACCCTGTCTCAAAAAACAACAACAGCAAAAAAATGGATAGAACAATAAAAAACAGACAAGTGATATGATCCCAATTTTGTTTAATAAGGAAGTATGGTTATGGAAATAATGTCTGTATAAACAAAAAATTGGTATTTGCTAAGGGATTTGGACTGATCTTGCGTGGAGACATTTACAATTAACAAGTGGTGGGATAATATATACTTTTTCTTCCCTTTGTTAAAAAACAGTTTTTGTACAAAAGTTACCTTTTTTTGTTGTTTGTTTGTTTTTTTTTTTTTTTTTTTTTTTTTTTTA